ACAACCTACTCTGATCGAGGCCTTCATTTGGGCAAAGTTTCAGATCGAAATTCGAAAATATGATTTTGCTGTAGAACTAGGGTCCAGCAGGAAAAATCCGGTAAAAATTCGATATCTCTGTCAAATTTCAATATGGACACAAATCCTTTGGAGGTTTCTCTAATCTAGTGGTCCCCTACCTAATGGACAACATATGAGCTCAAAAGCTTTTAATCACTTGGGAACGTTCCCTCGTAAGGCAAACTTCCGTCTGTGTAAATTTATAGAGTTCTTTTATTAATGAGAGGTCGCAAAATACAATGAATATTTCTGGTTTGTTGACAAACTAACCAGTACGATGCAATTGATCTATAATAATAATACATCAATTAAATTCATGTATAACCACAATGCAACAAGAACACATGATAGAAATTGCAATAAAACAATGTTGAATCACTTTCTATTATTATATGATGAATAAATAATTCTATTAAAACAGACTTTAAATATAAAATAACTTTTTCTTTTTTAATTTTTTACATTCCATCTAAACAGCTAGTACTCGTCTACGAAATGCTAATCTTCAATCACGTGCACGTGAATTATTAAAAAAAGATGGAAAAAAACCACCGAAAACAGAATCTGAAGATAATGATAATAATTCAACATTAAATCGTACATTATTACCTGATTATGATGGTGTTGTCTATACACTTGATGCTAAATTATTTGGTAATATAGGACGATATTTTAATCATTCATGTTCACCAAATATAGCTGTACAAAATGTTTTTGTTGACGTAAATTATATTGAAATTTGTTTTATATATTAAAATTCTTCTTTGTTTTGTTTTTATTAATTAGACACATGATATACATTTTCCGTGGATAGGATTTTTTGCTACAAAAACAATTCGATCAGGCACAGAATTATGGTATAGAAATAAATTTCAATCGAAATAGATTCATTTATGTTTCTTTTTTGTTTCTAGTTGGGATTATAATTATACAGTAGGTGAAATAGCTGGTCGTCGAATGGATTGTCATTGTGGTTCAGCTGAATGTCGTCGTCGAGTTCTCTAGTCCTTGATTATAATTAAATATAAAACAAAAGAACAACAGATTTTGTAGGATAGTGCCTTTTTCTTTTTGGTGTTGTTTTTTTTTTTCTTTTTTTAATAATTCACGTGCACGTGATTGAAGATTAGCATTTCGTAGACGAGTACTAGCTGTTTAAGTGGAAAGTAA